AAAAACAAAACCTCATTAAAATTAACTTTCAACGCACTTTTAAACACGCCTACTACAAAACTAGCATACAACCGTATGATAGAGCTAGACGCGAGTGGCGAGCAACCCTTGTACAGACCGAGAGAATGGAAGCGGATAGAACGAGATCAGAATAGAAGAGAAAAGCGGGAATCCTGGTACAAAAAGGGAGGGTTTGACACGGTGATATTCGTGCCAGCAACTCCAGCCTAGGAGCTGAAAAATCGGTACATGGAAGAGGTTAAGGGAGCAGGATTCAAGGTCACAGTGGTCGAGCAGTCTCGTGTAACTCTAAAGCGGATTTTGCAGAGGTCAGATCCGTTCAGAGAAAGTCGATGTAACAACATCAACTGTCTGGTCTGCAGCACCGGCGGAAAAGGCCCTTGCCGGAGTACCTGTGTCACTTATGAGCTAGTGTGTCAACTTTGCCGCAGTAGATACATCGGGGAGACGTCACGAAGTGCATACACCCGTGGGAAGGAACATCTGCGAGCTTTGGAACATAGAAAGCAAAGTTCAGTAATGTGGAGGCATTCATATGAGAAACATGACGGTAACGTTCCAGGGTTCACAATGAATATCACGGGAGTGTTTCAGGGTGACGCTATGCTGAGACAGATCTCAGAGTCAGTCCAGATCAATAAGGTTCAACAAGATCAACTGATAAACACGAAGAGCGAGTGGAATTATTTCAGGATCCCGAGGGCTGTTGTCACACAATCGTGAAATGAGGCTACGAACATTTCATCATGTGACTATTGCACAGTGAAACTGAGTTCTAGTCTGTTGTAGTTAAGTTATTTAATTGTCTTTCTATTGTTATCATTGTTATTTGTGTTGTTGGTGTAATTATTGTGAAATATTGATTTTATTGTTATTGGTGTTTTTTTTTGTTGTTGTTTTTTTTTGGTTTGGAAGTTTTTGCTCGTGCAACGTTATATGACTTGGTCTGAGATTTGAAATTTCTAAAGAAACAACGGAACGAAACGAAACATCGCATACAACTGAAGAGGTCTGTGGACGAAACTAGTTTTGTAGTAGGCGTGTTTTAAAGTGCGTTGAAAGTTAATTTTAATGCGGTTTTGTTTTCAATATGATAATGAACGATACTTTCTTAGCTTCGACAATCAAAATTTCGTAAAAACTGTAAGTACAACTACGAAAATGCAAACTCGCGTTTGTTAAGAAAGGATTGCAAAATTTGTTTTGTTTTCCATTTAAAACGGAATAATGAAAGTTCACGGTTATGACAGTGGCAAAGAGAAAAAAAGAAAAATTAAGCTAATGCTTGTTCATACCTCTAATACCTCGAAAATTATAGAAATTCGCGAAATCTGTGACGACCAATAAATTGCTGATGTATATGAAACCCTAATTTCCGCTGAGTTTGACGCTCATGACAATCTGGAAGACTTCAAAGCAAATTCTTTTAACTTCAAATTGTTTTCACTCTTCCACTTCAAATTGCACATGAACAATTATATCGGTCAATCATGGTAAATGTGCATCACCGAATGAGGCCTTCGATCAAGCCATCTTCTCGGAACAGCGACAATATACCATCCAGACGTTCGATGGAGAGCTTCATCTTTCGACAAACATGGTCCAGAAGCTGGCAGATGCTGGATTGTCTCATGTTACACTACAATCTCTGTGCGAGAAACTCAACATTAAGGGCCTCAATGGAGTACTGGCATTGGCGCCATCTGCAAAAGCAACTTGTCATCATATATCAAATTCCGCTAGAGAATTCTCTCCGGAGTTTCTCTCCGGAGTTCTTTTCCAACTGTCGTAAAGGTCAGCAGTCTGAGTTTTAAATGATGACTTACTTTTCAGGAATGTGTAAAATCACAAAAGAATGTGAATCCATCTTCAGGATGAACGATTTTTTCCGCACTGAGGGCATTCGTCCATTAATCGCGCGGACACGGACTCATCCTCGCGAAAATGAGCCCTTGAGTCAGCGGTATCGTTTAAAACGCGTGACCGGATATAAAAGTGTGAGCTAAAATTGCAAAAACCGGAAATAAATCTTGCTAAGTTGATGAACTAATATCTCGAAAATCAGTTCGGTGACCTACCCTGATTCTTTTGTGTACAAACTAATTTCATCATTACGCGTTCCTGAAGAGAATTTTAAAAACATTTATCTAGTGGAAATTTTTTTACATTTTGAAAAAGCATTTTCCTAAATAATTCAAGTTCTACTGGATAGTTTTTTTTTAATATCACGTATACAGGTGGAGAATGTGATGTTGTTTAAGAAATTAAAAAGAAAAGCTAGGTCACCGACTTGGTTTTTGAGATATCTTTCAAAAACTGAGTTTTAGAAGGTCTTTTAGCACTACTGTGCACGAACCCCCTTAATAGAGTTCCCTGAGGTAGTGTTATGCAAATGTCAAGTCATTATCCTGATGATAAGTTTGACAGTCCTGATATCTTCTATTGATTGGCACTTGCTGTTAATTGTGGAAAACCCTTTTGAGCCTCCTTAAATAAAAAAATAAATATGGTCATTTTGGATGTGAATGCAACGTCTCTAGGAATACTCCTTTTCAACAGCTGTGATTGGCGTCGACATTCAACCTGCACAGAACTTCGACGTCCTACGAGCACCCACTAGTCACCAAAACTCGCTAGATCTGATTCGGTAAAGAGCTCATCGACTGCGATTCCAATTTTTACACTAGAAAAGGTTTGTAGAAAATTCAGGTAAGACTCCACTAAAAAAGGAATTCCAGAAGCAAGGAAGGAAACGATCAAGAAACACAATTATAGTCGAATTTCCACATCGCAGTGCACCACATGGAATCACAGCAGAGTATGTTGCTTTGTGAGGAAACGCTTAAAGAATCGACTTCGTTGACTGGTAAGACTTTCCTCTTTCGAAGTGGATCCTGATGTTGCATCTGCGCATATTAGAGCGATTTAGCACCGCGTTTTCGTGAAAAGTGAACGGCAAGAATGGCCACGTGACCTTGTTTTTCTCCCATTTTTTCACATTTGCCGGTTGCGCTTTGCCGTTTCCTCGTGAAAGTAACCTGTTTCACGTTTGCTGTGTACGTAAGAATTTTCTTCACTTTTTCTCTGACAGAGTAATACCAATAACAATAATAATGATGATAATGATGATATACGTTAATTGAAGCTCCCGTGAACTTACAGATATATCAGATTTTCAAAACCAGCAAAGATATCTGTTGGCAGAGAAGGTCCAAGTGGATTTACATCAAGATGTCTGTAGAAGGGAACCATTTAAATGAGTTGCAACCATCTGCTGAATACATTTAGGCCGATATGAAGTATGAAATATTAATTCCTTATAAATTGCTATGACCTGGTGATGTTGTAAGGCAGAACAAATGAAAATGATCGAGTATGTAGCTAATAGAGAAAGAATGATAATAAAATATCCCTAAAGATTATATGCTTGAAGCATTCGAAATTTTTTGTGTGACTTTTAAATCATCTTAAAAGATGAAACTCACAGTTTCTGAAGCCGTGTTAATCCTGTGAGAATGACCTTCATATCAGCCATTGATAGTGAGTTGTCGTTGATTGTCCTTAAAGAAATGCAATATCTAACATCAACATACAGTCTACTACCATAATTTATGTAGCCTCATTAAAATACCCTGTTTTATGCATCCAGATATATATATCCACGGATTTCTTAAGAAAATAAGACAAAGGGAATGAAAAGTAATGAAAACCGAATCTAGCCAGTTCATCATTATTTTATTAATAATGTTTGGAGCAGTAAACATTGATGTGTTTTGATTCTGAGGCAAACGGCTTTGAAAAGCATTTCATGAAATGTAACTCACAAGGAAGAAACTTTTTCTGGAAGGTAAAAATTCCCTGAAATTGAGTTCTCGGAAAGATATCTGGGAAGAAAATGATAACAAATGTTAAGAAATGGAGGCAGACTGATTCCCTGAAGCATTTTTTACTAATACAGGGCAACTTTTATCTATAAATGTCTAAATAATATATTTTTACATCGTTTTAATATAGAATTTAATAAAGATAAACATGATTATAATACTATGTAAAAATAAAATCCGTAAGAGTGCATCTAGTAGGAAATGGGGGCATTAGACCTTGACAAATTTTGCCTAAAATGATTGGAATAAAATAGATGTTTCAATCAAACAAAGCCCATCATTAGCTAGTTTTAAAATAGCGTTAAGAAATGTAAATAGCTTCTAGTCTAACTATTATATATTTTTATATTAGTCTACACTTTTCCTTTTTCTTTTATTTTAATTTTTGAGGACTCTTTTGCAAATCACTTATCAGTGAAATTGATATCCTCAATAAAAATTATTATCAGTCAATTGTTTCGGATTTTGTTCTACTACAGAATAATGATAATTAGTATATACCAAGACAGTGAGTAGCGTTGAGGGCGTGCTCTGATTGGCTGCTTAAACTCCGAATATTCTTTGCCACTCACCTCCGAGCAACTCATGTGGGATTTGGGCCCGAAAATATTGTAATCGTAGCTGGAAAGAATAGGTTCACATCATCGCATCTGCCATATTATGATAATTATTTCTAATTTTTAATTAGTTGACGAAAGTCAAAATAATTAGAAATGATGGTAAACTCTTCAGAGATAGTGATTTTCATCAGCCCAAAACGATGGAAGTGAAAAAAGAAATTTGATGAGAAATACTTTCCACTCGGAAAAACTCCTAATAACATGCTGCGTACCGGTTGAATTTAATCAGTAAGAATTCCCTTACATTATTTCCAGTTTCTTCGTATTCCGGAATGTGTTTTGAGGAATGTGTCGCAGTGAGTTATTTGATAAGTCCCTAGAAAAAGAGAAAGAGTAAATTAAAAAATAAATAAATAAATAAATAAATAAATAGAAATTAATGAATGCTCGCAAGATTGGGCATAAAATTTTCCACAAGCAAAGCGATCACATACGATTACTTGCGCTTTCTTGTTTGCTTATCATTAGGTGAACGATTAATAATTAGGATCTAAATGATCCCCTCATATGGTCAAAATCTATCAGCTCATAGATAGTAAGTAAAAGAATGAGCAAATAGCGTGTACTTAGATATAGCTTGTGCTTAGATGGCTGCGTTTGTAGTTTACTCCGGGAAATCTCAAGGCAATTTTCAAACGTTTTCACAAATCGATAGATTTTTCTTCTGAATTCGCCAGATATATGCGGTATGTGAACCACTGTTCCCTTAGTGGAATAAGGTTTTGCTGGACTACACGAATTGTCTAATCAGCTCTAAAGATATCCTTAACCCTTTGAATACGAAAAAGACCATATTTTTTCAGTTGAAATTTGGCGATACAAACTTAACCTCACTTTGTTGGTCCTTACATGGAGCATACGTTACAATATTTGCGGTTTTGAGACACCATGGGCTCAGACCTTGGGGTCACATGACCTAGATCAACAGTTCGTGTTTGGATGGGTCAGCATTAGATTCCATCCACCAAAACCACCTTGGTCGAGAGGGACTGAGGTGGAATACTTAACAACTTGCAAATCATAACCGAAGATTCTCGGAAATCCGCGCGGAGACATAGCCGAACACCCGAAGAACAAACAGAAACAATATGGCGGGAATTTTAAAGCGTGAACAATTTGCCTGATGGTAGAGATGAGGATAATTTTGGATACATAACTTCTGTTGATGAGGCGTATAAACTCATTGCGGAATTCGAAACAGGATCGACGACGAAGTTTTCTTGCTTTAAGGCTGACAAAGGTTTCGGAAACACTGGTATGCCCATATATATTTGAAAGCGTTACGTCGTGCTAGCTTGTATCACTCTCGTCCTTGCTCTACTGATCCTATCTTCCATCACAATTTAAAAACAGATCACTCGAACAGAAGTCACAAAATACTCTGGGAAGATCCACGAGACATTAAAGGTACAAAAAATTCCTTTTAATGGTGTGCCTTTCATAATTTTGGGAAGGAAAGTGTTCGATTGTCAGCACGGCAAAGATAGAAAAGCTGGAGAGAAAAGGAAACGAAAAGACGCAGAAGAAGTAAATGAAATATTGCACTGTACATACACATAT